CTTGACTCAACGTGTTGCACGATTTCGAAGAAGTACGCGGCATTACATCACCGGTTATCGAGCGACTCCAGGGAAAATGAATTGAAATTAAAAGGAAAATTGGCGGTGAAACGGAATGGTGGAAACGTTTGCCTTCAGCTCTCCAGCGGAAAATATCGATCTGAAAGCGACGCACGGGGGGAATCAGTCGTGCAGATTCCGAGAAGTACGAGCGCGAACGGTTGCGTCATCGGTTATCAGGGTGCTTACGTTGCAACGGTGTGGCGTCGCGGGAAAACTCGAGGCCGGTGCGTTCGCGCGAATTTACGAGGAACGTGTAAACAATGCGGTCATTTCCCGCCCATTCCTGGGAACAATTTGCACCAGCAGTTCGTTGCCACGAACCTCCTGCCTCTGCCCCCCTAATTAGCTGGAAAAATCGAAATTTTAACCTTGCTTATTCCTCGGTTCACCCTTTGCTTCATAACGATTCGTTTCATTTTTTATACAAGTTCCGTGAAAATAGAAAGCTGAATTGGTGAAAATCGTTCATATTATTTACATACTGTATACGTCCCTTAATCCAGCGTGGAATCGAGATGATCGACATCGGCGTTGATCGATAAAACAGAGTCTCACTCGAGCTGGCGGTAGGATTGGCGGGAAGCGTCATTTGTTAGATACGGTGGGGGTAGAACGAAATCGCGTCGATTCGGTTCTCTCCGATGCTCCATTTTCCATGGAAACGGTTTTTCCGAATGTCGTCGAATAATTTCCAGTTCGCTATTGATCTCGCTGGGAATGAAAGTCGCGGAATCGACGGGATGGTAATTTCATTCGGCCCGGTTGGAATCGAGACTGAAACGACGGTTATTAAAATCGTCGACCGCGAATATCTAATATCGTGAGCCGAGATAGCCTAGGCTACCAAGGGCGAGGGGCTCTTTAATTGTTACAAAGTCCCTGGACCTGTTTCGTCGCCATTTTCGATTAATTTTCCCATCAGTTGGGGCGGCAAAATTGGGGGTCCTGGTAATTTTCACCGGTGACTTATGATCCATAAAACAGTTCCCGCTGGATCGTCCGTGGCAATTTCTAGGCTGGTTGACCGCGGCCGCGCATTTGTCCCAGCTGACTGACGCTAGCCCCCGTCGAATTGCTGTCGATGGCTATCGCGATAAATAGGCGCGGCCATCTCGAACAACGTGCCGTGTATTTACGCGTTGACCCGATCTCCTTTTTCCGAGCTTTTGCGCTATTTTCGGGCGGCTTTAGGCATTTCGCCGTTTGTTTGAATTAAACAATTTAGGAAAATCATCGCCACTGAATTCTGAGCTGAACTTAACTTAATGGTTCGCATTTGTTCCGGCTGATTACTAGCGCTAGCTCGCCAGCCAGCGTTTCCTTAATCGACTACCACTGGGAATTAATTACACATCAAGAGAGCTCTCCCTCTCTCTTCCGTTGCTCCCTCAACGGTGTAGTATCGCGTTGCCCGGAAAATTAATCGGCGCGAATTAATGGGCTGCGACTATTCGATTTCAAAGTGGCGGCTGCCATCAGCTCGTGAATTGTTCCATAATTCTTCTGGCACGCGATGCAGGCGTTCTGTGGTGGAATAAACTTGCGAATAAATTTTCATTTTCCTTGTTTCCACGATGCAAATGGTTACAAGAGCGAACAATCAAGCTGTTTCGGGGAACTATAGCGAAGGTCGTTCGTGTCTGTACTGCATCTCGTGTCGCGATTACTTCTTGGAAAACGCACGATCGTCCTAGAAACCTTTTCTCCCCACGAACTACGACGATTGACTCGGGCAATAATCGCGCGTCGCAAAGCAGCCGCGCACCGGGAAAAGCGTCTTTTTCTCGCAGTTTCCCGGCATGAGCCTCGCGTCATTTGCGTAGGTAGGTTGTCGAGTTAATAACGGTGACGACAATTATGGTCGCGAAATTGTGGCGCGACATCGAGAAAAAGAAAGCATTCCGGGAAAAAACGGCCCTCGACTCGCCGGAATGAGCCTTAATGACATCCACTTGGTTAGCGGACCGCTCGCTGCCGTTGCCACAGAGAAAGTGACCCGTGGGCTCTCTGCTTCTTTTTTTTCCCGTCAGATTGCTGCGAAATTACGGGGAAAATGTTTCAGAAACTTATAAAACGAAATACGAGTTTGCTTTTCAGAGAATATAATGAAACCTTCTGCTACTTGCCACTGTTACAAATCCTTTCCCTTCGAACTCCATTTCTCTTCTCAAATAATATTCCGTTGCTTTGTCCTTCTTCGTGTTTAATTCTTTCAATTACTCCGTTCTGTTCAGTTGCCGCGTATCGTTGTTTGTAGTTTGCGTAATAAATTCGTCGTTGTTACAATTAATGGAAATAATTCTAAAGAATAATTGCAAGGGACGATTGGAAAGAGCGAGAGAGAGTGTAGGATCGATCGCAGTCGTAGTCAGCGAGCGAGCGAGCGAGCGAGCGGACAGGCAGGCGGTTAG